TTAACTGAGAAGCCTTTTCATTCTGTGAACTAAGCACATTCCTTCAAAACCACAGGAATCCACTTCTCATTGGACTTATGACAATCACAACATTGGCACGCAGGTAAAAAAGAACTTGATTTGCTTTTCCCATCACACCTCTGGTTACCTCAGGGGACCCCACTTCAATGGAAAAAGAGTAAGGATAATTTCTGTCAAAGTATTCCTGAGCATTCTATAATGATTTAACCTTTCCTCTGCACACTTCCACAGCTGTAGCCATTGAATCATGTTAGATTTCTGCCTTCCAGAAGAAGGTAGAGTTTCAAGGAAAAGCAATTCTAGCAGACACCAGACCAGAGGAACTTCCCTTCTTCAGAATAACTCCCTCAGGAGATTCCTTTCTGCAGCCTAATGAGCTTATGGATTAAACTATTTTAGAGGACGTAATGGCCTAAGAGCATTCTAAATTCTGAGACTACAACTTTATCCTTTGTTCAACACACAATATGGGTCACTCTAAGCACTTAGCATTTAACAAAACTGAATCTGTACCATGTAAAAAAGCCAGAAAAGGTTTCAAAATGTGCTTTGTTATCAATATAATACCATGCATAAGTGGGTAGTTTATAGTTCAGTGTAACAGAGTAAAAAAAATTTCAAAAGTCAAAGGGCCTCATATGGATGGTGAGATAAGGCATAAATTTTTTTTGTGTTATTTCCCTTTTTGGCTGCTGGGCAGACTCTTCTGCAACAGAGGATATGACAACTGCAAGAGAATAAAGTGAAAAGTGTAGTCTTTGCAACCAAAAAATGTCAATTTAGGCTCAAGCACAATAAAAAAGCACAGTCTCTCACTCTGGTGGTCATATAATCAGTAATATTTCTAATAATAAACATAATTTACACTATAATTATAAAAAGGAGTTCATCTTATTAAAAAGTTGCTTGGGTTTAGAATGGCAACAACTCAAGTAAAAGCCAAGTTTTAGAGTACATTAACGTAGATATTTGTATTATTGATACTGCCTTTTAACCTATTAAGGATATAAAATTACTTTTTCTATATTTCCCCATTATGGTATGTCAAAACTTACGGACTCATGGCTGTTGTGCATACTTAAGGTATAGTTGGAGTTCCTGGGTAGAGAGGAGCTGTAAAAATCTAGAACAAAGAGCCATTACTACTCAGTGATCAAATCATTAAATACACATTTTAGTGCCATATAGTATTTTTTCTCTTATAGAATTTTTTGAAAGATGGAAAATAAGGGGCTTATTCTGCCTTTATAATTCAAACATTACTTTCAAAATTTATAAAGCTTACTGAACTAACTACATTAATGGTGGAGTTAAGTTCATTTGTTTTGTTCTAAGAAAAGTATTGAAGTTTGAATATAACAGTCATGATGGTTTTAAAAGTGAACACATTTAAGTTAGAGGCAATGTATTATCATAACATTTCTACCAAAATATTTTCTACTGTTGGTGGAAGAAAGATGTGAGAGTAATCTATGATTATGGAAACTCTGGAAGAGACTTAATCAAATTCATGTAAGTACAGAGAAGACTGAGTAAATTATAGCAGGAGGACTTTAATATAGCAGCTGACAGAACTTCCTGACCATAAGGGATGTGAAAATCTACAAAGAAATACTGTTTTCATTTGAGATGAAAAACAACACAAACAATTCTCCATTTAGAAGTAATATTACCTAGAAAAGGAGAAACGGCTTAACGTCTTAAGATTCCCATGTTTCTTTCACTAACATGGAGAAAAAAAAAGACAGAAAAAGGAAACTCTAGAGCACTCTATATATAAAACCCTCAGCCTGTTTACCTGAGTCCTTCAGGGACTGAGTAGTTTTGAACAGCTGAGTTTTCTGGTAAACTATGTGTTTATCATTGTAAGAATTAAGTTTGGGTAAAAATATCTACTAAAAATATATTTAAATTCCCTGATTTTTCTTTCTTTTAATATTTTCTTCCTAAATATTATGAAAGTCATTCAAACTTACTATAGAAATTAAAAAAGAAAAGAAACAGCCATAATTCCGCCACCCAGAAACAACCAGTTAGCATTTTTTCTCAGTTTATTTAACAGAGTATACAGGACATAATTCAAGACTATAAAATAATGAGATTCTCAGTCTACAAAACTATTTCAATAATGGTAAACATTTATTGAGTTCTTTGTAAAGCCTGGTACTATGTTAAACATTCTATATACACGGTCTCATATAGTCCTTACGAGCCAATGTGGTAGGTAATTCTATATCCCTATTTTAGAGATGAACAAAAAAAAAAAGGCTTTGAGAATTTGTCAAGGACCCATAATAAGCCACAGAAACTAAATTCAAATCCTTTTGTCCAACTCTGAAGACTTATCTCTTAACCTCTTCATAAGATTAAAACGCTAAAAGGACACATACTGTTACGAATTTTAAGGGCTCCTACACATGCATCCTTTATACATACCCTTCATGGTTTTTCAAATCATGTCAGATTCTCATTTTTCAATTCTCAAGACACAGCATCTTCTTATAGCATCTTCACCACCTTTCCCATTTACTATCTTAAATGTGACCAATCTCTAACAAAACAAGCTTTTTGACATTTTGTGAAACATTTAAGGAGACTTCCAAGGAATGTAACATATGTAGACTTTGTGACACATATATTGGCATGTGCTCACAGCTCTGTTCTGAGATGAGATGTTATTATTTTGGCTTTGAGACATGAAGGATATGACATTTAAATCTAAACATGAACCAGCCAATCGTGAAAAGTCAGCATACTCATAATCCAAAAAGCTTCAATAGAAATTTAGATAGTAATAGAAGGCGCATTACTCAGAGTCAAGAAACCTGGGTCATATTGGAGGGTAGAACAGTGACTACCTCTACAGAAAACTATGTTCATATACAAGCTACAACAAATATCAAATGTTATATAAAACAAACAACGCAGGGGAGTCCACAAGGATATGGAATGCTTGAGCAAAAAAAAAGGAAGAGGCTCATTCAATGGCTTGTACTAAAAGATAAGCCCCAGATTCTAAAAGAAGGTAGGCAAACTGCTCCCAACTCACCCTGGTCTCAAAAGGTGAAGAAGGTAGAACACCGCAGAAGGAATAATGGAGTACAGTGAAAGGAGGCCAAGGGAGATTGATAAAAATTAAGGATCAGCACATGTTTTCTTGTTTTAATTGGGGTAAGAACAGTGGACAAAGAGTTGGAGATAGGTTGTTCTGAGGAGACAAAGGGCTGTTTCAGTCTTGGCTGGGGTCAGCCATGTTTATCTTCCATCGAATGTGGACAAATAAAAAGCCTCACAGAAGTATTTTTTATCACATAAGCTTTGCAGGCATGTTGCTTTTAAACCCAATGACATATGCTACTATTTCATGTAACAGATCAAGTTTCCTTTTGTTTGTGAGGTTGTATATAAGAGAGTTTCATTAATCAAGTTGCCAATATAATTAAAAATTATTTGTGATTATAGTTTGCTGACATCTAATAATATAGTTATTTTATAACAGCAGAACATATACCTACAGGAAAAGGGTGGCCCGGATGCCTGCAGGGACCAATGGGTAGCCATTTCAAGTATGCTTTTCTTCCACTGGCCTATTCCCCGCTAGGCTCTCTCTTCTCTAACGAGATTGCAACATGGTATCACTCTGACGTGAAAATCCCTAATTCTTAGGAGGCAAAGTAAAAAGTCTAGAGTGCAGTTTAGAGTCTGATTGCTTCTACAGCCCTTTCTAGATTATTCCATGAAGACTCTCAGGATAAGGTCTTGGATACATAGTTAAGACTGAACCCTCATTTCCACCCTTTCATACAATTCTTCTCCCTAAGTCGGCCTCTGTGTCTCTGCACTCTCTCAGGCTGACCTGACAAATCAGCACCTGAGTTTTTCAGGCCAAAAGCTTTTGGTTCCCTACTAAAAAATAAAACAAAACATAAATCAAGTTTGTAAGGGAGAAGGGATAGTTGCCTATAATGTAATAAACATGGTCTTCCTTCCCTCATCATAGTTTATTCAAATTATTAAAAGTGACTATAATTTGTATCCAGGACAATCAAGAATTGATTATATTTCTCTCCTTCCACTATTTGTAAATGTAAATGACAGAGTGTCTCCTAGATGCTTTGGGTATGGTGGAAAAATTAGTCCTTGATAAAACACAATAGATGACCACACAAATTTGAGTACTATTTAAGCCAATTAATTAACCACAATCACTCAAACTTAGGCAATATGATAAATACTTATCTTCACATACAAAGAAAAATGAATAAACTGCCTATAACAATATGGCATTAAAAATCATACTGATGTTCAATATTCTGTGGCTACTAACATTGTGGGCTGTTTTTAAAAGTCAAAAATACTGAACTGTTTAGAAAATTCTGCATAGTAATAGTATTACATTGTGAATTTTATTTTCAAATTTGATCAATAAAGAAAATAATAAAGTTAAGCAGTCAAAAGAAGTAGCAAAAACAAGATAGTCATGCACATATACAGAACATATAGATTCATTTCTAGTTGATTCAATCCTATTTACATATTTAAAATACAAAATAATGGCCGTCTGGCTAGTTCCACTGGTAGAGCATGAGACTCTTTTTTTTTTTTTTTTTTTTTTTTGAGACGGAGTCTCGCTCTGCCGCCCAGGCTGGAGTGCAGTGGCCGGATCTCAGCTCACTGCAAGCTCCGCCTCCCGGGTTCACGCCATTCTCCTGCCTCAGTCTCCCGAGCAGCTGGGACTACAGGCGCCCGCCACCTCGCCCGGCTAGTTTTTTTTTTTTTCTGTATTTTTTAGTAGAGACGGGGTTTCACCGTGTCGGCCAGGATGGTCTCGATCTCCTGACCTCGTGATCCGCCCGTCTCGGCCTCCCAAAGTGCTGGGAGCATGAGACTCTTAAAACACAAAATACATCTTAATGTGTCAAGATAACCAGTTAGCACCAGGAAAGGAACTTTACTTTAGCTTCTGATTATTTTTTACTTTTATTTTTACTTTATTATTATTATTTTTGAGATGGAGTCTCGCTCTGTCACCCAGGTTGGAGTGCAGTGGCACAATCTTGGCTTACTGCAACCTCCACCTCCCAGGTTCAAGCGATTCTCCTGCCTCAGCCTTCCGAGTAGCTGGGACTCTGACAGGCGCGTGCCACCACACCTGGCTAATTTTTTGTATTTTTAGTAGAGACAGGGTTTCACCATGTTAGCCAGGAAGGTCTCTATCTCCTGACCTCATGATTCGCCCACCTCAGCCTCCCAAAGTGCTGGGATTAATGGCATGAGCCACTGCACCCAGCTTAGCTTCTAATTATGACCTCAGTATCTTGGAATAGATACTGAGGAATACTATGTATTTATCATCATGAATTAATAAAAAATTAATTTTGAAAAGTAATTGCTGTATATCATCAATTCAAAAGTGATTCAAATGAATTAAAACCTTAAAACTGGTAACTACTTGATGTTGCGAACAACTCTCCTACAGTGGTTTGTCTTCATCTCTTCCAGTGCTTGTTCTAGTTGTTGAACCAAATGGAGCAGGGTGGCTGGGTCTGTCTGTAGAACTCTGGTGTTGTGATCTCCATTTTGATTAAGGTGTAGCTTTATAGTCACTGCTGGTTTAATCTGTTGCCTGAGACTTCTACTTGCAAGCTTGATTTTAAATGAAATAAGAGCACAGTAACTATTTAATAACCATGCTGAATACATATTTATAATTATCTTAAACCATACACAAAAATTAAGTTTCAGATGAATTACAGATTTCAACATGAAAAGTAAACTTTAAAACCTTTGAAAAGAAAATAATGAGAATATATACACAATTTTATGGTATAGAAGATTTCTTAAGCATGATATAAAAGGCTCAAACCATAAAGACAAAACTGGTAAATTTAACTATAATTTTCTTCAAAGGATACCTAAAGATGGTAAAAAAAAAACAAGTCATAAACCAAGAGAAGATATTTTGCAACACACATATAACCAAAAAAAGATAGTATCCAGAATGTGTGATGAACTCCTCTCATTTAATAAGAAAAAACCCTCAAAATCCAAGATAAAAATAAACAGAAGATCTAAATAAGCATTTTACAGAAGACAAACGAATAAACATAGAAAAATGTGTTCAACTTCATTAAACATCAGGATAATAGCCAGTAAAACCACATTGAAATACCATTTTACAAATATCAGACTAGCAAAAATTAAAAACCTGTCCATACCAGGCACTGCAAGGGACAGTAATGGGAACTCTCATCCACTGCTGGTAAGGGATGAGAAAATTACTTTGGAAAACAATGTGCATTACCAGCAACTCTACTCCTAGGCATATACCTTAACCTCTTACACATATACATTTATTCATGATAGTATGTTTCCAAGAACCAAAAACTAGAAATACCTCAAATATTAATTAACAACAGAACGGATAAACCAAGAACAATCACAGAATGAATTGCTTACTAAATGGTGAGGAAAGAAATGAACTACAGCAACATGGGTTATCACAGAAGAAACAAAAATGTTGAAAAAGCAAGTCACAGAATACATGCAAGTTTAAAAAATACACAGTTTTGTGACAAAATTTATGTTTTTAAAAAAACTATAAAGAAAAGATTAGGGGCAGGGCGTGGTGGCTCACTCCTGTAATCTCAGCACTTTGGCAGGCTGAGGTGGGTGGATCACAAGGTCAGGAGTTTGAGACCAGCCCGGCCAACAGAGTGCAACCCTGTCTCTACTAAAAATACAAAAATTAGCCAGCCATGGTGGCGTGCGCCTGTAGCCTCAGCTACTTGGGAGGCTGAGGCTGGAGAATCGCTTGAACCCGGTAGGCAGAGACCTGTCTAGCCTGGGCAAGAGAGCGAGACTCTGTCTCAAAAAAAAAAAAACAAAAGAAAGAAAGAAAAGAAAAGATTGACAGAAAATTCAGGATAATGATTTCCTCCAGGTGGCTGGGAAATGGTTACAATTGGGGGAAGGTACAGGTTCTTCAAAAGTACTGGTTTTATTTGTTAAGTTTGTTGGTGGGTGTACTGGTATTTGTTTTATCATTATTCTTTAAACTGGATATCTATAACCTTTCATTTGTATAACACATTCCAAATTTAAAAAATAAGTATTACTGACATATTTTTAAAAGAAGAAAACTCAAGACTGCAAACAATGACCAACTTGAAGGTCCTTTCAATCTTTAGATTATCCATTAAAAGGTACCAGGATTATCCAAAGCAATAGTTGATTTGAAGTCTAAGAGAGAAACTGTACAAGACAAGCCTGAAACATCTTGTAATAGGAGAAAGCAAAAAAGTTATCAAAAATAGTGGAGTCATGTCAAGAAGACTAGATTCCAATTTGAAGAGATTTTCGAGTGAATAACAAATCTAAACCTGAGATTTCAGGATTAATTTAATTCCGTAACATAGAATATTTTGACTAGTAACTTCTTCCAAATAATTCTAGGTAACCTGGGCTTTCAAAAGAACCCAAGATACTGATCCAAGGCTGAATTTAATGTCCCCAAGTAATTTGCAAACAATACGTCAATCCCTTTGGGTGAGCTGGTCCCCAAACATAAAATAGGTATTTGCAGGCTAAAGTACCAGTTTAAGATCACCTTTGTAGTACAGATAATTATAGATTATGACACATATACATATTATACATACGATAATTGAAAACAGTACTTATTTATTCAATTATAGTCTGTTTATATTTGTTTTTCCTCTACACTGACAGACAGGGACTGCACTGACAGGGACTGAGTGTATTTAGTGTGTAATTAAGCCATGACTTTTTTGTTGAAAGACTTAAAGCCACTATCCTCCAATTTTTAGACAACATATCTAAATTAAATACCTATACAAGTATCTATACTATTCTTTAACAGTTCTAAAAAAGAGATTACATAACATCTCTAACAAACATCTAGTAAGACATTTTTCTCAGAAAGAAGTTGAATGACAGTACTACAGGACAAAGAACAGCAGCCCACAAAGTTCTTGATATGGACTTTTTTTTTAACTGGGGATGAGATTCTGTCCTCCTCCCTGTAAACATAACAACAATAAAAGCAATTTTAAAATGAAATGTCTTATTTCAATGCAAATTAGATAAAAAATCAAAAAACCTTTACTTTGAAGGGCCATACCTCAAAGGCACTGAAAAGGGTATTCTGGCAAAAAACATCAAGTAGGAAACAGGATACATAAGTTATATTTCATGTAGCTACAGTTCCTGAAAGAATTCAGTTCTCTGTTTAGCCTCAGAGCAAACAATATGTGGGCAGGACAGGAAAAGAATGCTTTGAAGTAGTTGTAAATGGACCGGCCCTAAAACGAACATCCTCTGGCATCAGTCTCAGATGGTGGTACATTCAGTTACTAATGCTATTAACAAGGACATCAATTGTGTTGATAATTTATTAAGTCTGGGGAAATGTTCCTACTAGACACTAAGCTATGATGATTAATTTGATTCCCATAAGTGACTGCACAATAATTAGGTGGTAATTGTCCATCACTACCAGTCTCCATGAGACAAGTCAGTTACTTAAACATGAAAGGCGCCGTATGTAGTTACTAGTTTCCTAGACATTTAGCTAGTCTTATCTGATCTGCCTTTCTCTATGAGCAGAAGAATCCACTCCAGTTAAAATCCTATGCAATGGTTTCAACAAATAAGCTGAGGAACTCAATGAGCTCTGAGTAGTAGCTTTTTTAGCCCTTAAATGCATTTCTCTATAAGAAGCAACATTCATTCGGTATACCCTCAACCTTAAACTGTACTAGTCCTACCAATAGTGTAGTGATTCAAACTCATTTCACTGGGTAAATGAGCTCTCGAGTTTAATTTTAGAAAATTCAATTTCTTAATTTTAACTTGCAAAAATGTCTTCATAATGGACACACTCAAAGCAAATTAATAAAGTCAAAAAAAGAACTATTAAAGCCTATTGCACCCCAAAAGTCAGGGGGCATTCGCACACAAGAGACAGGTAAAGATCTACAAGATAAATTACCACTGAGCCACATACATGACCATTCCCATATCTCCACCAGGTTATTGTGAAAGGATCTAAATATAAAGGCTTATCCAGTCATTTCCCCCACGAACCCCACAAGACTTGCTGCTTATGAAGTCCCCCAGAGGATGAACTGTTTTGTTCTTTGCTGTATCCACAACACCTGGCACATGTTAGGGGTACAAGAAATATCTGATAAATAATTTAAGAAGCCACTTAACTGCCCTTGCCACCCATTCTTTCTATTCAGCACCAAATGCCTATTATATGCCAGGTATTGTGCTGGGCACACAGTAATGAACAAGACACAATACTTGCCCTCCTGGAGCCTACAGTCTGGCTTATACCACATCCTGTGTTCATGCCTATTCAAGCACTCATCACACTTGATTATAATTGCTGATTTCTAATGAAATTTTATTTTTTGGTCTCCCTCTTACTGTAAGACTGTGAGGACTTAAAGGCAAGCACTGCTATGTCCACAAGGCCTAGCACGCACTAGACATTCAATAAATGGTTTGATAACTGAATAGATGTGTAGAAGCAAGAACGGATTAATGGGACATAAGAGATTATCTTTTTAATTGTTTATCTGCACACACCTTAAGATGCTCATGACACTGGGATATTCTCTCTCTATGCTGGCCACTCTATCCCAAGTGTAAAATTTGAAGATACAGTAAGACAGGTACATCTTTCTTCTGTCCAAATCCTAAGGCTTTTGTCTTAACTCTTACTCCCCTGATGATCCCGCTACTCTTAAATGTTGCTCTTACTTTCAGTGACATTGTGTTGTGCTAGTGGTTGTTTTTCCTAAAACCACGCTTAATTACTGGCTTTTATTTCTATTAGCCATGAGCAACCAATGAGATTCAGTTCAGATGTCAGAGAAATCATTCTCATATGTGATTTCAACTAATCCAGCATCCAAGATTTAGGCCCATATCCTCACCTACTGTAGAGACTGCAACTTAAACAAGCTGTCATCACCTTAAATTCACTCTATCTTGAACTGATTAAGGCCATGTGGGAGTGTGGCTCTAGTGCCGCCTAAACTTCTAATTTTTTCAAAAGTTGCTAAAAATTATAATTCTGGTGCGAAATTTCCTAATTTTTTTTTTCAAACCATAGAAGGGAAGTGGTCAGACTGTGGATACCTTTTTAAGAAACTGACTTGCAGATGGACTAGATGAAGGGCAAGGAGAAGAGTCAAGAAAAAGTCCAAGTATTTTTGGCCTATGTGATTCAAAGAATGGACGTATCATCTGAGATGGGAGAGGCTGTGGAAGGAGCAGTTTCAGCAGGGAGGGGGTGCATTAGTCCTTTCTTACACTGCTATGAAGAAATAACCGAGACTGGGTAATTTCTGAAGAAAAGAAGGCCGGGCGCGGTGGCTCATACCTGTACTCCCAGCACTTTGGGAGGCCAAGGCGGGTAGATCACAAGGTCAGGTGATTGAGACCATCCCGGCTAACAGGGTGAAACCCTGTCTCTACTAAAAACACACAAAAAATTAGCCAGGTGTGGTGGCACGTGCCTGTGATCCCAGCTACTGGGGCGGCTGAGGCAGGAGAATGGTGTGAACTCGGGAGGTGGAACTTGCAGAGAGCCGAGATCGCACCACTGCACTCCAGCCTGGGCGACAGAGTGAGACTCCGTCTCAAAACATAAAAAAAAGAAAGAAAAGAAGTTTAATTGACACACAGTTCCACATGGCTGGGGAAGCCTCAGGAAACTTTCTTTTTTTTTTTGAGACGGAGTCTCGCTCTGTCACCCAGGCTGGAGTGCAGTGGCTGGATCTCAGCTCACTGCAAGCTCCGCCTCCCGGTCACGCCATTCTCCTGCCTCAGCCTCCCGAGTAGCTGGGACTACAGGCGCCCGCCACCTCGCCCGGCTACTTTTTTGTATTTTTTAGTAGAGACGGGGTTTCACCGGGTTCGCCAGGATGGTCTCGATCTCCTGACGTTGTGATCCGCCCGTCTCGGGCTCCCAAAGTGCTGGGATTACAGGCTTGAGCCACCACGCCCGGCCTAGGAAACTTTCAATCATGACAGAATGCACCTCTTCACAGGGCGGCAGGAGAGAGAATGAGTGCCAGATGAAGGAGGAAGCCCCTTATAAAACTAGCAGATCTTGTGATAACTCACTATCTATCACAAGAACAGCATGGGGAAAACTGCTCCCATGACTGAATTATCTCCACCTAGTCCCACCCTTGACATATAGGGATTATTACAATTCAAGATGAGATTTGGGTGGGGACACAGAACCAAACCATATCAGTGGGTAAGAAAGGTGGGATTCAGTTTGGAACACACTGCATTTGAATGCTTATCAAATTACCAAAGTGGAGATGAAAATAGGCTTCAACTGTATGACTCTCAAGTTTAGAGGATAGTTCTAGACTAAAGATATACATTTGGGAATCCCAAGAATATGGGGATTATTTAAGACCTCAAATTGGATGAAACCAGCTTGAGAATGTAAGTGGAAAAGGTATGAAGACTCAGAACTGACCTTTGGGGCATCCCAATGTTTAAAGGGCAATGAGATAGAATCAGCAAAGGAGATTGAGAAAGAGGAGCCTGTGAAGTTGGATGAGAATCAGAGGAAGTTATTTCCCAGAAGGCAACTAAAGAAAGTATTTCAAGTAGGAAGGTGTGACTAACTGTGACAAATGCGTTAATAAACAGAATGGCATAAAAACTAAAAAGCGATGACCTTGAGTAAGTTATGAGAGTAGAGTGAAGATTATGAAGTCTGATTAGGAAAAGTTTAAGAGATAACAGGAAGAGAGAGTATACAAACAGAGAGACAACTCTTTCAAGAAGTCTTAGTGTAGGCCGGGCGTGGTGGCTCACGCCTGTAATCCCAGCACTTGGGGAGGCCGAGGCAGGTGGATCACTTCAGGTCAGGAGTTTGAGACCAGCCTGGCCAACATGGTGAAACCCCGTCTCTTCTAAAAATACAAAAATTAGCCAGGCGTGGTGGCACACACCTGGAATCCCACTGTAATCCCAACTACTTGGGAGGCTGAGGCAGGAGAATCACTCGAACCCAGGAGGCAGAGGTTGCAGTGAGCGGAGATCACACCACTGCACTCCAGCCTGAGCAACAGAGTGAGACTGTCTGAGAAAAAAAAAAAAGTCTTAGTATAAAGAGGAGCAAAATAATGGAGCAGCAGCAGGAGGAGTACATGGAGTCAAGACTGGGTTTCTGACTGTGTGCAGAAGGGAGAGGCAAACCAAGTATGACACAGGTAAAAGAGGCAATAATTGCTAGAACTATGTCCTCATGGGGGGAAATGCAGATGGACTGAGGTATACAAGGGAAAAGGCTGCCTGTAGATAAGAGCATGGGCACTTCATCAAGAGGAACAGGAGAGAAGACAAGTGGAGCAAATGGGTCCTGATACAGGCTGAAAGATGCGGTGACAGGTGCGTGTGGAAGTTCTTTCTGTTTGCTTCTCTTTATTAGTCAAGTTGGAAGCAAGGTCAACAGCTAAGCATGTGGAGCATGGAGGAGATGTTGAGGCTTTGAAGAAAGAGATATAAGACATGCATGGTCCCTGCTATGCCAGTGTTTACAGTTTAGTCAAACAAAAAATAAAAAAACAAAAAACCAGGTACATATAAGTGAGATGACTTGCCAAAAGAGGAAGCACAGGTGTCATGAAAAGAAAACACAAATGCCACCAAAATTTAACTGTGTCTAGTGGCAGGGGGCATTTCTCCCAAAGGGAGACATCATTTAGAGCACAAACCCTTTCTATAAAGAACCAGATAATATTTTAGGCTTTGCAGACCATACAGTTTCTGGCACAACTACTCAACTCTGCCCTTGTACTTTGAAAGCAGCCATCCTTTCTATAAACCCTTTCTATAAAGAACCAGATAATATTTTAGACTTTGCAGACCATACAGTTTCTGGCACATCTACTCAACTCTGCCCTTGTACTTTGAAAGCGGCCATAAATAATACATAACAAAGGAGCATGACTGTATCCCAAAAAAACTTTATTTACAGAAATAGGTAGCAAGCCAGATTTGGCCCACAGGCCATAGTTTGTTGAGCCCTGATTTAAGCTAAGACTTACAAGGATAAGAAAGTCAAGTAAAGAAGAAGTAGCAAAGCAGAAAAAGCATTTCATATAGAGTAAACATAATGTGTAAAGGCCTGATGCTCCTCATATTTTGAATTCCCACCTTCACTCTCTGCCCAGGGGTGCTAGATTAACTTTCCTACATGATTGTTTTTTAAGGTTACCGTCTCTCTCTTTTTTTTTTGAGACGAAGTCTCCCTTTGTTGCCCAGGCTGGAGGGCAACGGCACAATCTCAGCTCATTGCAACCTCCACCTCCTGGGTTCAAGCAATTCTCCTGCCTCAGCCTCCCAAGTAGCTGGGACTACAGGCATGTTGCACCCCGCCCAGTTAATTTTTGTATTTTTAGTAGAGATAGGGTTTCACCATGTTGGCCAGGCTGGTCTCGAACTCCCGACCTCAGGCGATCTGCCTGCCCTGGCCTCTCAAAGTGCTGGGATTACAGGCGTGAGCCACTGCGCATGGCCTTAATGTTACTCTCTTATCCAAATATCTACAAGGGCTTCCTATCGTCTGCTATGTCAGATCTAAACCCCTCTAACCAACTTTCTATAACCTATTTGGACATTACCTCCATTTGAATCAGAAGAAGCCACTACAACAGTGGTTTCCAAACTATTGCACATTAGAGTTACCTGGGTGAAAATAAGCTTTAAAAAATCCTGATGCTCAGGCCGAACTCTATACCAATAAATCAGAATCTCTGGGTATTACACACAAACATCAGAATTTCTGTAAAGCTCCCCAGGTTATTCCAATATGAAGTCAAATTTGAAAACAAGTGCACTGTAATACATATTTATCTGTCATTTCCATATCCATGTGGGTCTTTACAACATATTCTGCCTTCTCTACTAAGAATATTTACCCTAATTTTCTCTATTCATTCATCCTTCTGAAATTTCACTTCCTTTTGCTGGAAGCTTTCTTGGATCATGCCAGCACATACACACAATTACACGTGTTGTTGTTGTCGGGTTTGTTTTTTTTTTTTTGAAACAGTTGTCATCTTCATTTATATAATTATATTCTTCTTTCCCCATCAAGAACCTTATTTTATAAGCTCCTTTAATTACTAGTTATTTTCAGAACACCTAATATCCCTAACCAAGGTGATACCATCTTTTCCAGTTGAAAGTATTTTACACTTCTTTTGTGTCTCAAAGCATTTAGCACACCTCTAATCAGCAAATAGATGGCATTCAATACACATCTACTAATTTACCGCTCTCTGCTTAATAAAGGACTATAAGCAATGGTCTGAATACACCCTTTTGTTTATGTGACTTTAAAATCAACTGAAAGATGAATCTCACGAAAATAATATTGTGAGAGAAGCCAGGTACAGAAGAATATTTACTGAATCATTCCATATATACAAAGTTAAAAGGCAGGTAAATGTAATTTGTGTTAGAAGTCAGGATGCTGGTTACCTTTGGAAAGGAGGGAAGGGGCAGTAATTAGTTAGGAGGCAAGGAGGATGCTTCTGGGGTATAAGTCACAGTTAAATGCACCATGTGATAATTCATTGAGCGGTACAGTGACCTGTGCACTTTTCTACATCTGTTAAATTTAAACAGAAAAGTTTTTAAACATCTAGGCACCAATCTAAAAAATCTACATAACCATCTCCTTTTCTAAAATAACCGATTTCTTGCAAACTTTGCAAATTAAACTGATTTGAACACACTGAAAATAAAAGAAATGAACTATTTGTGAAATGGCCTAAAAATGAACATTAAAAAACAAAGTTTCAAACCGGATCTTAGTTAAGGTGGTAAAGAATCCAATAAACAGGACACAAACCTAAAATAATTCTTATATTCTACGTCAAGTTAATTTTAAAAATACTATACCTGTACATCTAGTCGCCATTCAAGGTTATGATAACTGGGAAGACTTGGTGCCAATTCACTTAGAATAGTTCTGATCTCTTTTCTGTTGTCCAGATAAAGCTGAAGCAACAATTTGTTTAATTCTTCAGAGAATCCCAGAACAAAAACAGAGTCTTGGAAATCCAGTTCAGAAATCTAAGTGAATTGAGTTTAAAGAACATCAAAATTTATCTTTGTCTAGCTAAAATACTTGAAATACACAAAAGAATATGATATACTCTAATTTATTCTGTCTAGTAAAAGAAACAGCATTCCTTAAAGATAACCACTGCTCACCATTCCAAAATCCAAGTTACTGATACATAAAAGTACTTTATTAAAGTATAAAATGGAAAGAATTGTTAAGATGCCCAGTTTCCCTTCCTATTCTTCATCAAGCCAGACACTGCTGATATGCAAACAAAATATTAATACAGTCTCCCTCCTCTTAGGATACATAAATGGTTTAACAACATGCAGAATTAGAGGTACTTCTATACTAGCTATTTATACCAGCAAGAGGTATTTGTATCAGTAGATATTATATGATTTTTATTTTTTAGGTATGTCTTCAAAAAATCGATTATAAACCGTTAACAACATGATTAAAATCCACAGGTACCTGCCAAGACTATGATGTAGAGTACACCAGACTTTTCTTAAGAATCCAGGCAATACAAAACAGTCCAGAGAAACCCTTACCATGAGCTTTGAGCTCTCAGTGAGGAGATACGTTAATCCTTCCACACCATGCTGGACAGTGTCACTACTCACATTCAGTTTTCCTGAGAAAGAAAAGTGAAAACAAGCAAATAAATTACTACTGTGGTATTTATCTTGTTCATATTTGTCTTTAAAAATAAACACTATTTATTACTACATGTTTTCAAACACTGCACGAAAAATAGTAAGTTGGCCAGAGGCTCATGTTCCTTCTCATTCCACTCCCAGCCAAATGCCATTGGTATTTCCCACCATGTAACCTTCTTAACAAAACGCAGTACTGTGGAGACTAGTATAAGGTGCGTAGCCCTTCTCTTGAAAGCGTAGCTCCTTCAAGTCTGGCGGAAGAGGAACTCGACAGGGATTGACTTAATCCCAGAGGCTGCCTCTTACCCAGGGGAAAACAACACTTTTTTAGCAGAAGCGGATATCTGAACAACTAATAATGATAACCAAATACTTGCATATTTACAGTTGACCCAGCTATTCCACAGACTTTGGTATATTTATACAAAATACTTTTCAGTATTTCTGAAAGTAAGGTGGTATTATGTATGTACATTTTACCATAAGAAAACTGATTTAATAGAAGCTTTAACAATCTCACAGCTACTTCAGAGACGGGCAGGATTTGCACCCTGACTGAGGAGCTCTGCTGGTTTTATTCTACTACAATCGGAACAAGATCCTAGGAGTCACAATAATCCCTTTCTCTCCCGGGAGACAGGGAATGGATCGCAACCGCCCTGGCAGCCTGCGGAGCCGTCCCCTTCCCCTTCTTACTGGCAGCGCCTTCGTAGATTTTTGGGTTTGTGCCGCGCCTCAGGAATTCCACAGCAATCCGCCCAAACTCCGCGACCACTGCAATGAAAGTCAGAAGGCTGTTGAGTGCCGGGCGCTGCCTTTGACCTCCTCCCCAACCCACAGAACACCGCCCCCACACCCGCTGACCCGCGCTGTCCACTTGAGGCAGGAAGGCCAGGTGCTCCTTATGCTCCTCGGACAACTCCAGCAGCATCTTCACTGTCCTACGATTTCACCCCGCAGCGCGGAACCCGCCTTCCCCTCTTCCGGCGCCGGTGTCCGGGCGCCTAGAGGCTCCGGCGTCGCAGCGTCTGGAGCTTTGGGTTCCGGTCTACGAACTAACGCCCTACACTCGGACGCCCCCTGCGGGGCAGGCTAAGGTCAGAACGTTCTGCCTTTTGTAAATCATCCCGCAAAGGTGTAGTGAGCGCCGGCTGGGTGCAAGGTGCTAGGCTCTGTGGGAGATGAAAAAGTGTTTCCAATCCGACACGCCCCCTCGTGGAGCATACATTAATATCAATAGCTCACATTTGTTAAGCACTAACCGTGTCAGGAAGTGTTCTTACATTTATTAAATACATTTGGAGTTCACAAGAACCCTGTGAGATAGGTTCCATTATAATTTCCCCGAGAGATAAGGAAACTGAGAGACAAGTCCAGCAACTGACACTTTTATAAAGCTAATAGTTTCCACAAAGCTTCTGTATATGTTATCTTAAATGTATCTCAGTTAATATCCTCAACAGCCATGGCTTTGTTTTTACAGATAAAGAGATAAAGCTCCAGAGATTATATGACAAAGCCTGTGACAGAGCTAGAAGGAAAGGGTTAGATCCCTCACTTACCTGCTCCAAAGCCCATCCTTCCACCTACCAGGCTGAAAGCTTGTGACAAGGTTTATGAGTGATTATAAATTAGGATAAAGATAATGATGACAATGACCGCTGCTTACAGGATTCAGAGCAATGTCTTTTTCTCTCTCTCTCTCTCTTTTTTTTTTTTTTTTCTTTTCTTTCTCTCTCTCTTTCTCTCTCTCTTTCTTTTTTTTTTTTTTTTTGGATAGAGCCTCACTCCCAGGCTGGAGTGCAGTGGCGGGATGTCAGCTCACTGCAACCTCCGACTCCCGGGTTCACTCGATTCTCTTGCCTCAGCCTCCTGAGTAGCTGGGATTACAGGTGCCCACCACCATGCCTGGCTAATTTTTGTATTTTTAGTAGAGATGGGATTTCACCATGTTGGCCAGGCTGGTCTTGAACTCCTGACCTCAAGTCATCCAGCCGACTCGGCTTCCCAAAATGCTGGGATTACAGGCGTGGGCCACCACACCTGGCCCAGAGCAATGTTTTTAAAAAAGTGTTTAGGGCCTGTGATAATTTAGTTCCTTTTCCAACTCTCTCTTCTCACCTACTGTGGTTCAAATATAAGAGACTATAAAGTTGCTAATTGATAGGAATATGATTCTTCAAATCTCAACCCCTTTAAAATGGAGGGCGTGGAGGAGGAGAGGGGAAGGGGAGGAGACTCTTCATATGTCTTTTCTGAGGCTTGAGACAACTCTTTCTATATTCTGAGTCTCCCAGGCAGACTAAAAATTGGAAGAGGTTTTCAATTAACTTCTCTGTGTCTACTTTGTCCTTCACATCTGACTGAAATTGTTTCTTCCACTGTGGCACAGAAAGACAGGTCCTTGAACTTATTAATTAGGTCTTGAAGTAGCATTTGCAGAGAGAACATAATTTTTACTTAGACTGTGGATTGCAGATCAGCAAAAATTGCATCATTTCCTGAAGTTGCCTTTATTCATACGTTATTGAGAAAACATCCATTATTAAAGAATAATTTTCAGAACAGGTAAAATCGTGACTCTTCTACAAGTGTACAATGAACACATGTCACAAAATGTTTTGAACTAGTTAATTAATGAGAGAATTAGTGAGAGTACAGTAAAAACCCGTTTCAACTGATTCAAAAGAGGTATTCAAGAACTGTACATGTTTAGGGAATAGGAATGCTGAAATGAATTTGCAAATAGTTACAGTAGTATGCCAATATGAAATGGCCTTTCTTCTCTGTAATCTCAGGGAATGAAGTGAGGACAGGTGAGGTGAAGGTGAGACTAGGGAGTGGCACAATGGGCTGTCTAAAGTCCATGGTCAAGGAACCAAGTTAGGCCAGGTGTGGTGGTTCATGCCTGTAAACCCAGCACTTTGGAAGGTCAAGGCAGGAGGATCACTTGAGGGCAGAAGTTCAAGTCTAGCCTGACCAACATGGTGAAACCCCATCTCTACTAAAAATACAAAAATTAGCCAAGCATGGTGGCATGTACCTGTGGTCCCAGCTACTTGGTAGCCCAAGGCATGAGAATTGCTTGAACCCAGGAAGCAGAGGTTGCAGTGAGCCAAAATTGGAGTCACTGCACTCCAGCCTGGGTGACAGAGTGAGACACTGTCAAAAAAAAAGAAACCAAGTTTTATCCAAGAAAAACCAGCCTGGGAGTTAAAACACCCCAGGATAATTTATAGAGTGACTTCTGTTGCCATAGGTGATATAGTTTTTTAGAAAAAATTACCTGAGTGAAAACTCAAAACTCTAGATTCCATATCTGGCTCTGACACTACCTGTATGACTTCCAGTAAGTTGTTTTTATGTTATAAGAATAGTCTCTTCATCTGTAAAATTGGTATTTTAATACTGCCCTTCTGTGCCATGCAGGACTGTTATGATACTCAGCTGAACTAATAAAATTGATTTTGATGACCAAATGAAACAATAAATTAGAATTAAGCAAACAGCAGCATTTACATTTTATAGGAGCAGATTTTATGCTCCTATAAATTCACAATCAATCATCTTAAAAGCCATTCATTTAATTCAACAAACATTTACTGAGCAATTCCTTAAAGGTTCAAAGATATGCTATGCTTTGGCAATTTGTAGATGAATAAAACAATGTCCTTGCCCTCTAGGAGGTGTCAGAAAAGTGAGGGAGACAGATAATGAAGTAATTCCAATATAGTGTGATGAATAGCAATACTTGAAAAATGAACAAAATGACAAGGAAGCACAGAGAATACACGTTAACTCTAATTTGAAAGAATCAGGCTGAGAATAAATGTCCCAGCGTATCTTGTGTATGTTAATACTAATGCTCTACAATTAGATTTACATTATAAATATATACAGTCTTAATGTCACTTCATGCAATCTTACTTCCAGGGCGAATGTGAACAAAGAATAAATACTCAGTATTTTTTTCACTTGATGCTGGTAGGGAACAAAGCTTCATATCAATTATCCCCTCATATTCTCTCTGCATCTTTATATCCCCCTCCAGCTCATGTGTCTTTCTTTTCTCTTACATTTTCCCATCTTTTTCTCCTTCTTCAGTATTCTAGCCCAGAATCCTTGCACAGCGTATTTCCTTAGCTGTGTTTCAATGACACATAAAATATTATCACCCCCTGCAAGGAATTACAGCTCAATTCACTACACTGTCAAGAGGACATTAATGTGGTGACAAGCCTCACTCACACCATCCACCTTCTCATGACTCTAAAGCTGGCACCAAATGCATGAATTAGCTCCTGAGATTTTAAAAAAATATTTAATTCATTAAAAAATTGTATTATAAATGCAAACAGAAAAGGGTACAGATTTTTAAAATACTCATTATTGAATTTTCTCAAATTAAACACACTTATTACTCCAGAACAAGAAATAGAATGTTACAACACCCCAGAATTTCTGCTATGCCTCCTGCCAGTCACTATCATCTCTTGTTTTCTCTATAGTGAACTAATACCTATACACATGCTGCCTTACGACATCCCTGTAGAATCATCTATGTGTGAGTGTGTATGTGTGAGTGTGTGCACATGCATGTGTGTGTGTTTGTATTAACCTTTGTGCCCCAACCTTGCAATATCTAACTGGGAACTCAAAGGCATTTTTTTAGAATGAGCCTTAGATTTTAGGTGCCTCCGACTGTTGTACCAAAATCTATCTTATAATCATGTTAGTAAATTGCCTCAAAAATATAAAATATTTAGAAAAAAACTTTAACAGAAGATTTACAAGACCTATATACTAAAAATTACAAAACTTTGCTGAGAGGAATTAAGAAATAATTGGAGATATATACCACCGATACAGAAATATGTCATGGATAATAAGATTTAATATTATTAAAAGGTCAGTTGTACCCAATCAGAATAATTCCAACAGGCTTTTTTTTTTTTTTTTCCCCCGCAGTTGCAAGATTTAATGGAGTGAAACAGAGCTCCCATACAAAGGGAGGGAACCCAAAGAGGGTAGCCATTGCTGGCTCAAATGCCTGGGTTTATATCCATATCATTGTCCATCCCGCTGTGCTCTCAGGCAATAGATGATTGGCTATTTCTTTACCTCCTGTTTTTGCCTAATTAGTATTTTAGTGAGCACTCTTTACTATCTGTTTGGTTGGGTGTGAGCTAAGTTGTAAGCCCCGTGTTTAAAGATGGAAGCTGTCACCTTCCCAGCTAGGCTTAGGGATTCTTAGCCTGGGAAATCCAGCTAGTCCTGTCTCTCTCAGTCTCCATTCTCAACAGGAAAACCCAAGTGCTGTTGGGGAGGTTGGCTGATGACCGTTCTAACTGCTTCCTGCTGAATTGGGGTGTATAGGGGTTGTGCAGTTGAGATTTCCTCAGGAGGGGTGCCTTCGATGTCATTAACATCGGAGCATGGGCTAGCAGGCTGGTCCAGGGGTCTACGGTAGATCTGAGCCATGGACTGCATCTGGGGCTCCATGTGAAGAACCATTTGTAGCTTTACAACTTTGATTCTGGAAGAGACAAACTTAACAAGGAAGTTAAAGATACAGGGATTGAAATGTATGGCCTGCAGTGCAGGGGATTATTTCTTTGGCACACTTCATAGGCCCTGGTTGTCTGCTTGATAGTTTTGAAGAGGCCTGGTCCAGTAAATAATGATTTGGCCATCTGATGGGTGCTATCAATGCCTAAGGGAAAGGTTTGGTGAAGGGTTTTAAGTAATTTCCATTGATTAGCTGCAGGCTAAAGTATTTTGCCTTCTTTGGTGGCTAGCCATCCTGAGGGGGAGGAAACCATGTCCTCTTGAGGTTCCCCATTCTATTTCTCCTGCTGAGTACTGGGGCTTGGTTTCCTGGAGGGGATTATCCCATACTAGGGGTCCTTCTATAAGCATTTTTAATGGAGGGTCCTGCCTTGTGGCTCTTTTGGCTTCAGTATCCACTTGGTGGTTCCCTTCTGTTTCCCTTTCCTTTCCTTTCT